TTATCCTGATTCTGTTCGCTGCTCGTCTGAGGAGCGTTTCAGAGCGGCTGAGCCGTCACAGAGACTCAGGGTCCAAGACGAGTGAAGGACACAGGTCCTCCAGAGACACCTGATCCATCTTCAGGTTCATTTGAATCCTGTTTCAGTTTTACACGAGTTTGTCATTGAAATAAAAAACAAAATTACAAACATTAAAAAAAAAAACATGCAGAATTTAAAGTTCTGATGCTAAAAAAAAAAAGAGAAAACAGCTCTTAGTGAAAATCCTGGATTTCCTGAAGAGTGGAGGGTCCACCAGACTCAGCTCCTGGTCCAAATCCAGCATCTCTGATGGGACGGGGATCATCGGAGTCCATTACTGCTAAACAGTATCTACGAAGTTACCCCCAAATTTCCAAAAGGTCGTATCCTCCGATCGTAGCTGATCGTAACCATTCAAGTTAACGTGTCGATTTACACCGACTTCTTTTCAAAATAAAACATCCGTCTTCTTTTCAAAATAAAACACTCCGTGTTTCAGGAGGATCGTATTTCACACCATGCAAACGGGCGGAGACGAACAAGTGAAAGGTTTTTAGACGTCATTTCACCCCGATGACACCATGGATGAGGAGATGCTGATTCTAGAAGTCTAGAAGTAGATTTCCTCCTCTGGAAGGACACAATCTACTGCTTATATGTCTATGTGTCTGTCTTTAGAGAGACGACTCGTTATCGTGAGATTGAACGTGAATCTGCGGGTTCTTGTGAGTTCTCGAGATTACTGTTGTCTGTAATTCGCCTCACAAATGGATCCAGTAGGAATTGGCGACTGGCCAAAATTGCCACCGACCAGGATGTGGTGAAAATTAGAGGTTAGGAGCATCAGGTCTCTGTAGTTGGAGTCGCCACATGGGTTTAATATCACTGAAGTGTCCTGAGGTCTGATGGATCAAAATCTAACACTCTTTGGAAAGGACAACAGTTGTCTTTTCAACGAAGAGCTGGAAATCCTAGATGCTGCATCCTCCGTTTTAAAGTATATCTCCAGGTTTAGGAGGAACATCTTGGTCCATCCAGACCAGGACTGTTTCCTTTTTCTTCAGTAAAATCCTGCAGCTGTTTGAATAACGGCCCTTTTTTAACCCGAGTGTCTTAATCAGCGTTTCGAGTCTCTTATCAATAATCAATAACATGATAATTCCTCTAATTCTTTCCTCTCTTTGTCCTTACTTTACATTGATTTGGGCAAATTGCTCGGTGTTGGGCTGTGGTAAGATGATGATGATGATGATTATTTATGGGTTGGTTGTATTTTATTTCCAGGCTTCCTCTCTAACACCTGTCCAGGGACAGCAGGAGAAACTCGCCTTCAGGCGAACTCTGGATCATTTACACTGTTTTGTCTTCTCCTTGATCAATGAGCAGCGTCCTTGTTAGGCCGAATCAGATAAAAATAAAACCCAAATGTGGGAACGAGCACAGAGAGGGGAGGAAATCCACCCGCCGTATTCACGGGGGTTCAAGATAAAAACTCCTCCATGAAGAACCAGGACCGGAGCGAACCCAGACCCGACGCTCCGAAACCAGACGTCCACACGGAGTCAGAGGTGACCTGAAATTAAACAAAGAGGATTGATTATTCAGGTCTGAGAGGGAAACACACACACACACACACACACACACACACACACACACACACATCACTGGACTGGGACTAAAACCTGGTTTTCATGCTGACGGACTTCTGAGCGTCTCCGTTTTTAGTGTTTCATCCAGACGAAGATTCGCCGCCTCTCCCTCTGAAAAAAGACATGACCTGAGGGCCTGACCTGCCCGAGGACACAACAAACAAACACACACACACACACACACACACACACACACACACACACACACACACACACACACACACACACACACACACACACACACACACGTTTGGAGTCCTGCCTACAAGACTCAGGAAAAACACTCCCCTCAGTGAAGAAACATCCTCCATGAACACACAAAGACCGTGTGTGTGTGTGTGTGTGTGTGTGTGTGTGTGTGTGTGTTTACATTCACATCACTCCTCTCCTCTTGTTTTGAACTCGTGTGAAACTCCCGGCCTGACCTGGAACCAGCTCCAGGGCTCGGTCTAATTGTTGGCTGAATAATGAGTCTGCAGGATTTCAGGACGCTCCTCTCCAAACACCAAACTGTGTCTCTGTTGTTCGCCGTTGCTCGCTGTTGTTCGCCGTTCCCACGTCGTCGCTCTGACTCCATCACACTGAAGCTTTGTCTCTCTCTGTGAACTCTTCATCTTCTGGGTCCAACATCTTTGAGGACATCCAGACTGTCTCTCTGTGATCCTGCCGTAGACGTAAACATCAGCTGACGTCAGTGAACAGCCCGAAAAATCACCTCCTGGACCTTTTCTGACCTCTTTAGGTTACTGCTGTCGTGTTAAAGGGATATTCTACAAACGTCTAAGCCTGTTTAACCCCCGACCTCCACCTTCATCCTGATCGTCTCCTAAAAGGTCGTATCCTCCGATCGTAGCTGATCGTAACCATTCAAGTTAACGTGTCGATTTACACCGACTTCTTTCCGTTCCTCTGCGGATCGCCGGACTCCTCAGCTGATCACAAGAGTTCTATTTTTTCTGGACGCCGGAGCATGGCGGATAAATTCAGCACAGATTAACCCGTGCTGGAAAGGAAGTCGGGCACAGACACAAAATAAAACATCCGGCTTCTTTTCAAAATAAAACACAGGGTCACCTGACTCTTAAAGGGAGTGGGAGCAGCTTCACTGATGGTTCGAGTCGGCACAGAAAAACAGACCTTTAATTAATCAGAGGACCTCTTCGTACCCGGGACTTCACTAACACCAGGACTGGGTACCACTGAACCAGTGAAAACTGATCAGCCACGACTCTCCGTGAACTTCAGACCATCTGAAGTGAGTCTTTGTGAGGTCTGGAATCCACCGAGTCACGGGACCAGAAGATGTGATTAAAGCCGGCCAGGTAATCTGAGCTGAAGTTCAGAGTGAAGATAAAGAATCACTGAATGTGTGTGTGTGTGTGTGAGTGTGTGAGTGTGCTGGACAAACTTGTGTGTGATAAAATAAAGATGAGTCAGGTGGAGGTGGGCTGTTCTGCAGGTCGGCGGAGAAGCTCGGGGAGTTCGGATCTGCTCGTTAATAATGAAACACAGAAACGTGTCGGTGTAAACACATGCAGAGTGTTTCCCCTCCACCTGCAGGCCTCACCTGCTCCACCTCCAAACATCCACACTGTGATGGTTCACACACACACACACCTGAGGGGACGCCCAGCTTTCCCTCAGAAGCATTCTGGGATACGGAGCCTCTCCTCCATCCTGACTCCATGTTGGATTCAGAGCGAGCGGCCTCGGGTGGAGAGATGGAGAACAAAGTGACCGACGTCCAGAGAGGAGGAGAGAGAGCGAACAGAGGAGACGCTGTTAGCGGTTAGCATGCATGCTAAATGCTGCAGAGCAACAAACATGGAAACATGATCAGAGTGAACGTCTGACTGCTGCTGAGTGAGTCCCAGACTCCTGGATTTAATTATAATAACAATAATAATATTTGATATTTATAATAATATTAAAACTATATCATTATATCATCAATAACAACAAAAATATTTATAATTGTTATTAATGATAAAAATAAAAACAAGTTATCATTGTTATCATTATATATTTTTAAATATAATAATGATGACTATTATTAATATAAATATCTAACTTAAAATATTATTTTATAACAATAAACAAAAAAATATTAATACTTAATCAAAATATAAATAATATTAATCATTATAATTACATTTCTATAATAATATTTTTTATTTAAATTAATACTAAATTACATCATTAAACTATCTATAATAACAATAAATATTTTATTACTCATAATAATATAATAAAAATATAAATAATAAGTCATCATTATTAACATTATATTTTAAAAAAACATTAGCAAAAAGTAATTATAATTATTTTATTTGGTTTTATTACTTAATAAGAACAATAACTATTAATATATATATATATTATTATAATTATATTATCATTTATAATTATAAACAGTACTTTTGTTATTAATAAGAAAATAATCAAAATCAAAATAATAATAATCATTATAATTATTTACATTTTAATAATTATTATTATTGACTATTGTTAATAATTATTAATATTATTTCATTTTAGCTCCTTCACTGCTGGCCACACGTTACTGTTTCTCTCTTGTATTTCTTCACACTGACATTATTTAACATCAACATGGTGGAGAAAAGGTTCATCTAAACGATCATGTGACCTCGTTACAGCCGTATCTCCTTTCAGGTGATCTGGAGGTTAAATCAGAGGAAGGAGACGGAGGATAAAGAGAGAGCGTCTCTTCTCTTTATTAAAGCGGATATTTCCACTCCATGAATCTGTCGTCAGACTGAACCCGGTTTATGTTGTGGGCCATCATTCCAGATCATCAGAATTTACTGAACATCAGCATAAACGTTTTAGTGCCAATAAAAACGGCTCGGCTGGATCTCAGGGTTTCTGCTCGCCTCCTCTCTCCGCTGGAAACATCGGACGGATACAGAAGTGAGCAAACGGAGATCAGGGTGCAATCATTTACAATAAAATCCTATTATCACAGAATGGATGAGACCTGGTGTGCCGTTAGACAGACAGCGGGTCTGAGGGGCTGATGAAAAGCTTCAGTTTGGGGGAAACGTTCTTCAGGTGGATGGTTCTCAGCAGACAGATGGAGAGGAAATTACAGTTTTTATGGTTGATGTGAGTCTGAGAGGAGAGAGGAGGACGACGGCGATCGCTCTGTCTGAAAACGACGACACACTCAGGGTCTTTGGGGAGGGGGGGTCTCCTTTAAAAATCAGAGGAACATCAGTAAAGACAGACGGACTGTCAGTGTGTTCCTTTGTCCTGTTATCGCCCACATTCACCGTCAGATTATTCACACACTCCAACTCTCCTCTCCCT